AGTTTTCCAGGCCGACCACGGACGAGCGAATCGCTTGATTGTCTCGTCGACGTGTCTGCCGATACGCCGAAAGGATGGCCGCGAGTCGTACACTCGGTTCGTATTTTCCGCGTAACCGTATTACACTTGGAGAAAATGGGATACGTACGTGCCGACTGTGTTCGGCAAATAAAAGGATAATCCCAGATGACGTAGTAAGTAATACCGGGCTCGCAGTGCCCGTTCATTTGTCTACCATACCCCGAGAGGTCGAACGGAGTTTATACAACGGGAGGAACTTCAATAATACTACCTTTTGCTCTTATTTGTTACGGTTATTCCTTGATCAGTCGGATATTCGGAATGGATTCGCGCGAGTCGGCGAATCCGCCGAATAGTTTCGCCGTAGTGAATTCTCGCGAGCGGCGAATAAAATTCGAGCGCATCGAGCGTTTGCTGTTCCAGCATGCGTGTATTAGCTTCTCATTATTCCACACGATAAACTGTGATGCGAATTACGGGTTACGCGTAATTAGTATCCTCGAGTGTACATAAAACTGGCGCGGAGTCTAATTAGTCGATTATATGTTTCGCCGTGTGGAAAAGCTCGTGAATTTGGCTTAGCACCGGGCCGAAAGGGACGCTGCAAAATGTTTGGCTATTTGTATCCTCCATTGACCCAATTGCTGTAATTCTTGTTTATGATTATTACACGCTTATATTTCCGCGCGTAAATCTATCACGTAAATTGTCAATGCGCGTCTGAAGATAATGATAATAATCCATCTTAATTTTTTCCGTCCAACGTTAAATTGAAGGATGGATTTTTCATAATTCTGTGACACTCATTCCACTCTCACTGCATAATTCTGAGATGACGGGGCTCTGGAATATTTCGAGCATGTGGTGGGGGGGGAGGGGGGCAGGTTCTTTACTCGGCACTCATAAATAAGTGAATATCGAGCGCGCCGAATTTATCAGGATACAGACTCCAGAATACAGGAGTCTCTTTATAGTCTCGTAAAATAATTTTGTTTTAGTGACGCGGCGATTACGAACGCGTCGTTATTCATAGAGCAACGAGTGTCCTTAATGCGCGGCCCCTTCACCTGACAGCAAAGCCTCCCTCCGAGACCTATTGTCGGCCGCCCCTCGCATTTTTCGTCCTCCCGTCGCGATACGCACACCCCGGGTTTTTCCGCAGCTCGGGAAAAGTCGTTTGCGCTTTAGTTGGCTCTCGTTGTCGTGGCAATGTCGCCGGAAAAAAGTCACTCCCCGCTGGAAAATCCGAACGGCTGCAGCAGCAGCACCGGCCGTTGCCGCTCCGACGCCGCCGTTCGCGTCGCGTAACGACCGCGCGCGCGCCCAGGATAAATGGAGATTTAATGTAATCGTGATTTAAGCCCCCCTTCTTCCCCTCGCAGCCTCTGTTCTCCTAACATCGCGGAAATTAATATGCATACTTTTAGTGCGACATTTATTTCCATCGCGCACTTAGTTTCGCGTCCTCGCGAAACGGCTTTTCCGAACGATTAATCGGCCCGCATGGTTCTCGTCGATATCGTTGAATCTATTATATCGCAGGGACCAATATTTTATAATGTTTCCAATCCAAGTGAAATATTTCCCAAGTACGTTATCCAAGTAAAATGTTTACTTGGTTCAAATAAAACTTACTTAATTCAAATAAAAATTTGTTAAAGTAATGTTAGAGTAATTATTTAAGTACTTGAATCTGTAACCTTTTTTCTGTGCATTTTTTTAAGATATTTAAGAATTAATGTTTACAGCGCTGAAATTCAAGTTTCAAGGTAGAAGTTAATAAGTTAATATTGTCGAAGTAGATTTCTATTAGTCTATAGAAAGCGCAAACTAAGAGCATCAAAATAGCATTAATATTCTCGAGTTGAAATTTTGATAATACTTTGATGCTCTTAAGGATAGTTTGCGCCTACTTAGACAACCTATAAATTAATGAAAATCTACTTTGACGATACTGACACTTTTTAACTCTTTTTTTGCATCTTTAATTCGACGGATTAAATTTTAGTACTACCTTCAACAACCTATTTGAACGTTAAAATGGCGAGAACGGAAATTGAAGACATCATCAGGAACAACGTAGGAATATAATAACATTATTAAAGTTGAAATCGAACCTACTTTGCCATGTTAACTCTTATTTTATTGTAAAATCGAAGGTTTAACAGAATCAAAATTTCGATTTAGGTTTTGACTCGGGTTTGAATTCATAATCGACGCTGATCGATCGAAAATTGCGAGCCTCTTCACGTGGCATCTTATTAACATATCCTCTTACGTATTCTGATAAAAACAAAAAAGGTATTGAACCTGAGGGTCGATAATTGATAACTATGTGGCAGATAATTACTGTAATACCCGTCCAAGAGCAGGTCCGCACGCGGAGGCCGTCGTTGGCTGCGCGCGATAATACGACACGATTTGCAAGTTATTAGTTCACCACGGTGTGTCATAATGTTTATTATTTACAATCGGGTGAGTGGCTAATGACGCGTGACATCGTTATCTCACGATGACGAGAGTGCTTAAGCGAACCCTGCTTTCCCGCCGATTTTCTAATCCACACATTAGGAAATTATCGCCTGTCTGCGGACGCTCATACCCGGCTGTGAGGTTTCGCGTTGATTTAACGATCGTATCAAATTATTAAATTGCTCGCCTAAATTCCCTCTCCCGCACGATTCCCATTTAAAATGAGAGGGAATTAATACACGTTGTTATCGGAGGTTATAAATTTCATCTTGCGAAGTACCTCACACGATAACGCACATCCCCCGCGTTTAATCCGCTTCAGTTTCACAATTCCTACGTGCTCGGAAAGGAAATCTCCGCTCGTCGTTTCCCTTTTAATGTCCGCGCTAAGATCCCTACGAAGATTCGCGGCGCGAATTTTTATAGTCGCTCGAGATTCACTCACGATATCGTGTACGAGAGGAGAGAGATCGTTCCGCGCGGGCTAAATGAAAAGCCGAGTATCTTCCTCGCGAGCACAGGCGACAATAAAACGAGGTTGCCGCGTCGGGAGCGGAAATTCCGCGACCGGCTAGCGCGTCGAGACGAATCGTATCGATGCTCCAAGTGCGAAGTCGATATTCGCTCGGTGTGTTCGGGCCGCGAAACGAAAGGATAGAGTGGGAAAGTGGAGAGCGCTATCATATTTCCGACGGGGCGAGAGTCATCGTTGGGAATCACTCGCACAAACCGTGACTCCACGACTCACTCACCGTCTTCACCCGCCTCGTCTCGTTTCGCCTCAGCAACTTATTTTCACGCTGGAAACAGCGAAAACGGAAATTTAAGACATCATTATGTTGAAAGTGGGAGTTGTATCGTCGGAATTGAACCGTTATTTTGCTATTTTAGTCCTCCTCCATTGCGTTATATTACATATGGTCGAATTAAAGGTCCAATATAGAAGGGAAATATTGACTCGGGATCTAAGGTCGATCTGCGAGACAAACTTTCCTCGATAAGACCGCCGGAAGCTTGCACGGGCACCCGCGGGGAATCCCGTTCCACACGTCGCGACGTATGAATTAACACCGCGGACGGTGAAATGTTGCGCACGCGGGTTATAGCGCGGGCGATTGTTACCGGCGGAACGTGCGTCGCCTGTGAAGAGGCGCGGCGGGAACACTTCCGGCTATTCGTTCCTCCTATACGGGGAAAAGATTCGGCCGTTGGGGAAAAACGATTTGTCTCGCGGCGCGCACGACAAATCTCCCGCGCTCCGTGATCCGAATGCGAGGCGACGCCGCGAGGCGCCGGGAAATGCCTCGCGTAAGATAATCTGCTTAGGAATTCAAGCGGAATTCGTTGTGTCCGCGAGGCCGAGCCGTCGTCTGCAATCCGGCACCCGATAGATCACGCTCGGGCAATATACGCCCGTGAATTAACTGCGACACCTCGGCGCGACCGCCGTGTGCACCGGAAGGCGTCCTCGTTGCAGGAAGTGTATCCCGCATGCTCGTCATTTTCGTTAATCTTTAAGTGCACGGTGTATCGTATTCGACCCGCTCTCTCCACATTTAAGACTTTTAGATAAGGTGAACACTGAACGGCGCTCTCTCCTTTCTCTCTTTCTCTCTTAGTGGATTGATGAAAAATCGATATCGTAGAGTCGTGAATAAGCGCACGTCGCGACGATGTACCGGCGGATGCGACCCCGAATTGTTTTGTCGCCCGTAGGAACACTCCTTCTTCGCCGAGAAAGAGATATCGATAAATTTATGTTTAATCCCGCGTATCGCGTAAATTCGAATTACGAATTGCTCTTTTACGACGGTCCCGTTCTTATCAAGAAAGAGAAGGAGAGAGAGAGTCATGTTTTTCAGCGTAATGCATGGTAAAATGCATTACCATTTCAACGAGATAACTGTTCCGAACGCTGCCCGAGGCTGATTTATCTAATTGCCTTTCGCATTTTTCCGACGTGAAATAACACCACGGGAACGGGTCTATGCGGCGTTTCCAATCTATCATGCAAAATATTTCAATACACCGACACGATCGCGGAGCTACGAGACTGAATGAAAAAACCTTTACCGTGTCAAAAATCATTCAGAGGTGACATACATCCGAGTCGAAATTTAGGCGCTATGTTAAACCTTCAATTCTACAACATAGCAGGAGCTATGATAGCAAAATAGGTTCAGTTTCATCATAATAATATAACTTACTCCTACTTTGACCCTGACGATGTCTTGAATACCAGCTTTCGCTGTTTAACGTCAACGTAACTTGTTCAAAGTAGTATATATGAAAATGAAATGTGTAGAAGAAAGGCGTTCAAGGAAGAAGTTAACGAGTGTCAGTGTTGTCGAATGGTAGAACAATCTCCCGAAATGTTGGAAGAAATTGAAGCTATAACTTCTTATTCGTTATAATTTCTTCAATATTTCGGGAGATTGTCCCGGCATTCAATTTTCGTGAGTTTTTTCGGAGTAATTGCATTTGGCAAATTTATATTTTAGATTATCCCGATATTCAGTTTTCGGAATTGCAACTTTTCGAGATGCTGTCCACCACTTCTCAAATTGCGGCATTTTGATTTTTCGGGATTATGCAGACGTAATCTTAAAATCTACATATGATGACCTATGTAGATGGCTTGTAGTAGAATTGTGCCCTGCTATAGGCCATCTGAAGAGGCGTAAATTATCCTTGAGAGCGTCGAAGTAGCGTCAAAATTTCCTCTCGGGAGGGAACGTTTCGGTACGCTCATCGGAAAAGTGAACAGATCGTGAGGAATTTATCCCCAAAGTATAATAAAAAGATCGTGTCCGCAGGGCGGAATATCGAGCGAGCAAATGTCGACGTTCGGGAAACGCGGGAGCAGAGAAAGGCGAGAGAGGAGAACTCGGCTGGTTTTTATCATCGCGCTTCCTCCCTAACGATCTTCTCATCCGTTCGAGGGGCCAGCGGGTTTGAAGCAGAATGGGGAAGGAAGCCAACGTGGAGCAGCGAGTAAACGGGAACGAACGGACGTCGAAAAAGTTGCGGTACGTGCCGAAGTAACCTCGGGTTCGGCCGACCGTGTCACCGTCCCTGGAAAACCTCAATTACTCGACAGTCATTAAAGCGTCGTCGGTCGCGCTCGCGAGGAAACTTGCCGCGGATCGAGAAGAGGGGGAAAAGGGAGTCGTCGGAAAGTCAACGGGAGAGTCCACGGCGGATCTCCTTCGAGATTCCACATGAAGGAAGGGAATTCTTGCGGAAGAATCTGCGCCACTTCTCTCTGCGAGAGAGAGAGAGAGAGATGGCTCTTTTCTTTTTTACCTGCCTTCCGTCTCTCTCTCTCTCTCTCTCTCTCTCTCTCTCTCTCTCTTTCTCTCTCTCTATCTCTCTCTCTCCTTTCTGCTTGAAAACTCATAAAGGATTAATCTCGCGCTTTGACGTATAGGAAAAAGCGGAAATATTTTTAACTATTATCAGAAATTGTGTACTTTACATATTAATTTCTGGAAAACCAGATGGTCAATGTTTGTGTAATTTCTTTTTTTTTTTAGAATATTTTTATTATAATATTTTATAATATTTCTATTTTATAATATTTCTACTTTTTTTATGATATTCGTATAATATCTATCTATCTGTTATCGTTTTTTTGTTCATCATTAAAATCATAATAATTTGGTCGTTAGAATTAATTAGAATTAAAGATGTAATATCAGAAACCGTTTTCGTAACTGTGACTTCAGTTATCTCAGTTTCAGCACGGTCAATATTTTTCTAATTTTACACCTGTGTAAATTGATTAATATGCTGTTCAAATTTGAAAAGATTTCTAATAAAATAAAATTACGGACTAATTAGCCTTTAACGGAGATATAATAAGCGCACAGTTTCCCGATGAAATTCACAATTTCTCATTGCACACGTGGAAAAGGACGTTTTATCGGCGCGTATCGTTTTTGCACAATGAGCGTGGAATATAATGTCGATTACGGCTCAAGTTTCGCAGATATTGATTAGGAAACGTATAATTAATGTTTGCATTGCGCATTTGTTCCCCTCGCGTTATTATTCCTCGATGTTCACCCGAAACGACGATGCATGAAAAACTGCTTTCAACACAACCCATCGTGTGGAATATTTATTGCAATTTTCGGGATCAAAACGCCAGCGTTCTCGCTGCGAACGCTGCGAACGCTCGTTTCGGCGTTTGATGCACTTCGACATTCGCTTGCGTAATTCGCATTCGAAATTCACGTTCTGCGCCATTTATTATAAAGAAGAAAATTATTGTTTTAGCCCGTATCAGCGTGGCACGCGTGCGCGTTTTATTTTGCCGTTCCGGTCTATAACGAATTAAACGTCGCGCTTAATTACGCGCCTGCCGTCGGAGAAATTTAACTGCCGCGTTAAAACACTGCGACGCTCGCCCAATTATAGTTGCGCAAATATTTGGCGAACCGCACGCTCTCGACGCACAGTACGGGTAGATATCAAAGACACGTCGCACCGGTTAATTATCGTCAGAAACAACGACACGATGAACGCGTGCTTTTAATTGACACTTCGTGCTGAACGCGCGACCGACAGCTGCGAATGGCGCGGCATCGTCCGTATCGAGAAACAGAGAGAGAGAGAGAGAGATTCGCGGTCGCAATTGCGTGTGTGATAATTTTTATCGCCACCGTATGTATTTCCACACTGATGCCCGAGCACATCATCTATCCGGTCGCTTTGAAGCACTAGTGCTGCAACATAGTAGCAATTTGACGTTATCACTGCGTACTGCTTTAAACACGACTAAAAATATCGCGTGCGCGCCCGCGCGTTCGATAACGGCACGCAGACGATGTCTGCGCTAATTTTGCCCGCAAACGATGAGATATAATAAAAGACGGGATACAAAAATATATACAGGAGCGTCGACCGCTGCTCCGTTTTCAATCCTGTCGTCTAACCGCGAACGTAGACGTTATCGAATCACACCTGTCACGTCCTAATTACTCGGACGAAAATACGAAACGTAAAACGATGTAGAGCGAAAATAATGTGAATCCCCTCCTAAAAAAAAAAGACATAAGTAACAAACTCTTTTCCCGTAATAGCACGTTCTTTTGTTACAGCAACAAACGTACCTTCGTAAATCTCATTTACGATACGTTTCTTGCAGCTTCAATCGAAAGGATTTGCCACTGCAGCAATTAAAATTGCTTAATACGCTGCTAAAATATTAGATGTCTATATGTTACAACTAATTTAGCTACTAATCCTTTCTTCCCGTTCAAGACTTAACACAACTGAATTTTCAGACGGTTGTTTTCTCATACGACACAGACCTCCTAGGGACGTCGTAAGGGCGTGCAGATGACGTTCTACGTCCTGAGAACGTAATCTCGGGCACTGAGATTCTTTTCATCGCAACAGTGGATAGCTGAATAGCGCGCGCCCGTGTTGTATTAGTTGATAAAAAATGTTACAATCATCGCATTGAATTATTCTATTGTTTTTCTGCTCACGGAAATACAGATATTTGGGGGAATGAGCGACGTTTTGCGCCGAACGCGCGTGCCGTGCGATCGCGACTCGTCGTGACGAACAACGACGGTTCTTGCCCCGCGGGTGTGCGCTGTGCGTGTCACCCACGTGCACCGTCCCGCCGTTCGTTCATATTGACTCGTCGCAGGGGTTAACGAACAGAAGACAAACAAATAGCGTGGGGCTACGAAAACATCGAGCGAGACAAAGAGAGGAACTGACCGCGAAAGGATAGCTGAGGACGGTGAGAAAACGACAGGGGGAGAGATAATCGACGGGTGAAATGGAGGAGCGAAGACGTAGGAAGAGGAGACAGGAGTGTGCGGACGCGTGTGCAGGGACGGGGGCGTCGCCGTCCTCGGAAAAATGTGGTCGCGCGAGAAAAGTTTGCTTGCTGTAAGCAGCTCCGGTGAATTCCTCCTGGATTTCTATCCCCGTTAAAGCGCCGCCGCCTTGAAACTGCGTTCGTTAATACGCTTCGCGGAGTTTCCTTCCTCCTCCTCTCTTCTCATCTCGCTGTTCATCTCTTTCTTTCTCTCTCTCTCTTACTTCGTCTCTTTTTCTCGCAGTTTCACGCGGTTATTGTCACCTTCCGCTTCGCGAGAGGAATCTTTGCTGGCTCGCGACTTCGCCTCGCGGATTATCCGCGGATTTTCGCGGTAGAGTTCACCTCTTCGTACGTGCGTCGATATTGTAATTGTAAATATTTGTGCGAAGTTTGGTCTACAACGTGCTCTCTGCGTCTTGCTTCTTGCTCTCCATCTTTCTTCGGTAATAATTTTTCTATTTACTTATGGAAACGAGATAGAGAGCAAGAAACGAGAAAGAACACATCGCGATCAGCCTTGAGTCTCTCTGTTTCGTAAACGCTTTAAGAGGAAACGAACTCGCAGGATTTCGTCGTAGTATCACGATGCGTGATGCGCTCTGTACTTTTTCCCGCGTTTTGCCTCCCGTAACAATGTTCATTCTCCTCTTCTTCCGCGAAGTTACACTCGCGCGGCGGTGCTCCTAAGTTCCCGTGGCTTAGTTTGGCGCGACGACGTCCCTGAGGGCCGGCGGACAGGATTTCTCTTACAAGAACGTTGCAGTAAACAAAGCTGGCCTTCCGAGAGGCCAGTGCACCCGCCTACCCTGCGCGTTGGCCCGCGCCATATTTGCAATTCCTCGGTCGTTGCTTCGCACTTTAGCATCATGCAAAGACGCGCGACATATATAGCTCGATTAATACACCGGTTCTCTGAATAAGCGATTTAACTTCGGCCGATTCACGCTCGGCTATTTCCGCGCGTCCTTCTAATTTATCGTGTTCCTAGTTTTACACGCCAAACTATTACCTTTCTCAAAGTTACAGAGAGAAAATTTACACGCACGCCTTACATTTCTCTCTCTCTCTCTCTCTCGATCTCGAGAGAGAGCTATTTTGGTGGCATTGGAAGTTTGGTGGATATTGCGATGTGCCGGGCGAAAATATCTTTCGTGAACGCGATGTATTTTAAATTAAAAAACAAAAGAATCCTTCCTTCTATAGACAAAGAAAGAATTAGCCATAGGAGTTAAAATCGGGCTGTGCCAGCTAAAATGTGTCTCTGGAACAGGGATAGCTAATCTCGTTGCTATCGCAGCTAAATTTACTGTTTAAATTTAGACTAATTTTACGTCTGAAGATGTAAAATTACCCTCAGATTCAAAGTAACGATTAATGAAAACTAACCAATAAAATTCAGCTAATGAGATTCAGCTTCTGTTACTATTCCCCCGACTGCAACGGCATTCTCATCTCAGACGAAGAAAGACCGTCACGCGCATTACGCGCGACTGGTTCTATTAATACGTTTTTCCAACGACATTCGTCCCTCCCTCCCTACCAGCGAAGTCTTATCGTCGCCGTGCATTCTTGCCGGGAATGTCCTGAATTCTCGACCTCCGGCGCGCGGCACTTCGGTAAATTCTTTACGCTTCGGTTCGAATAGTTTTTCAGGTGCCCGCAGCGGTATCTCACGAGTTTATTATTTTTCCTCCTTCCTCATTTTAGTTTTCTGATATTCAGCGATAATCCAGTCCGCGATTTCGCGCCGAATTGCGAATAGATTTTCGCAACGCACGCGCGATATTATCTTAAATAAGATTTCTTCTTTTATATCTGACCGCTCCGCGGCGAGCGACGCAAACTCTCGTGACTTACATACGATGGTACGGTATACGCTATCATATATCTCCCATGTTTCCAGTCGACGTATATTCTCTCGATACGAGACTTGGATAGCAGGAAAGTCGAGAAAGAAATCCACTCTTCCTCTCGCGAAATACTTTCTTTCTCATTCCTCCACTTTTCCTCGCGGTGAGCCACATATTCCCTCATCCTTGCATCAAACGCGATTTTACAGCGGCACGCATGTGCGAGCGCGAGTTTCCGTTCGTGTTGTTACTGTCGGGCTTGGCGAGTGAAAATTTCGTCGCTAATCGAAACAGCGAATCGAACGTGCCCGTTTTTGTGTTTGCAGTCCTCACTGCTAATTCAAGTGTGTAGTAAGTACATATTTATATGTCCAAAGTTATTACGTTCATGTATGTGATTTAATTTTCCGTGCAAAAATTACACATTTTATCACACAAAGAAATGAATTTACATGTTTAAACGTAATTCAACACATTTCGCCGCGTGTAACACGATACATAATACAAAGTATATTAAAATGAAGGAATATATACTTCTAATTAATGTAAATGTGTAAAAAGATATATATAAACAACTTCATGCATTTAAGTTCTAAGACGTGAGTCTTACGTATAATTATGGGGAAATGTGTATTCAGTTGGGAAGAAAATTTTTAGCGTTTTTTGGTAAAAGGTTCAGTAAAAAAAGGATTTTTTTCCCCAGCCAATAACATATAATTTTTAAAGTTCTCTATAATTAATAAAAAACATAAAATCTTCCAGATAACAATAATTATTCAAGTAATATAAATTTACAATACGATAAGTTTATTATAAAAATATACATTTAAATAGAGAGAGAGAGATATACGTTTCATTTATAAAATTCAACATGTTCGTAGTTAATTAACATTATAATTAATATATATTTTTTGTTAGAAAAGATGAGAAAGCATAAAGAAATATGAAGTCCTTATACGTAAATTATACGTTTTAAATGTGTGATGTAATATATATATAAGCATATGTAAAATGCACGTGCGCGCATTTAACCGCATAAAATAAAAATGCATGAAAAGTGACTGTACGATTTTATACACGTTTGTAAAAATTTCATAATTATGTTTGCAATGTTATGCGGGATTCTCGAGTCGACAAATTTTGGCTCTATGTTAAACTCTCAATTCTACAGCCGCGTACATTTTTACAAATGGAGACATCGATTTACTCCAACTGCTCCAAAAAAGTTGTTTCATTGGCTAGATGCTATCTTAAGGTAACCCGTAAGTGGACGCGCGAAGGTCAACCTGACCCCACAAACACATGAACAAACGAATGTTTCTTCGTTTCATTTTGTCGGCGACATCGGCGTTTTCTGTAACTTGCCTCCACCATTTACTCTTGGATTTAATGAAATAGCGTCAATAACACTCGAAAATCTCAGCTGTAGACAGCAGTTGTTTTATTCCTGAAAAAGTCACGCTCAGGAAAGAAGAACAAATGCATTTGCAAAACTCCGATTTGCAAAACTGAACGCAGCTTGTGCAGGAGTTATGACAGCGAAATAAATCCAATCTTAATAATATAATGTATTTTTCATCTAATAATATTAAAAGTCAAATTAGGTTTTTATTAGTCTATAAGTCATCTGAATTGGCGCAAACTGTCTTTAAGAAGATCAAAGCGGCATGAAAATTTCGTCTCGGGTTATCTCGGCGAGCAGCGCAGAACCGACAAATTATTTCGTGCGATGTAATAAATCACGGTTTCGAGTTACCATTTTGTTTATTCACAAGGCGGGGCGTGTGTACGCGATTCATTGTCGTGGTGTTATTAATTCCGGCTGTCTGCAATAGCCGACGTAGATTATCGATTGTAAATGTTGTTTTAACGTCGCGCGCGAGCGGGATCGTCGCTGTTGCAGTTTATGCGCGCAGACTGCGGGACATTCCATTTTCGTCTTTCGATTAAACGTTAACGAGCACACGAAACAATGGGGCTTCCATTACCGTAATTAGCCGAAATATATACGAGCTGTACGAAGCGCTTCCACTTGTGTGCTTTAGCGACGCGGAAGCTTTTAAACCAAGCGGCTTTCGATTTTCTCTCGGAACGACGATTCTGACAGCTCGGAGGAAGTGTACACGGAAAATAGTAACCCGGATTTTGGTGGAAACGACGTTTCATTCACAAAATCGGACTATTTACCTTTGATTATCGCCGAATGGCAAAAGCGGCCGGGAACTACCGACAATTCACGATTGCTGAAACGGTGTTTAGTCGCGCATTATTTCGACGATACGGCGACGTATTTATCGCGGACGATCCGCAGCGTCGCGAGGAAATGGCGGAGGAAACGCATTGGCGATTTCGGTCATCGCGCTGAAAGTATCAGGAAATGGCTAACGCAGAATTTCGCGGTGATTTATCGGGGAAAAACGCGCGGAAGTGCCTCTGGAATGGCAATATCTCGGAGGGAGAGATCAAGGCAGGAAACCCGCGGGAAATTCGATCACCCGGATATTACTCCGATTCTGCGTCTCTAGCCGAGCGAGAAACTTTCAGGATGAAGTGAACTTTAAAGTTGAAAAATAATCTCTCTCTCTCTCTCTCTCTTGACAGAGGGAACTTTCTCACGCGGCAAGAACGTGTCGAATACTGCGAGAGCCGTCTTATCATTGCTATTATTTTAACAACATTCGAGATCCGCTCCTTGCATGTTATTGCTATTGTTTCCGTTCACACTCGAGAACAAGTTGCGTACCGAGGTACGTGCGCTCTGGTATTTGCCTCTACGTGC